CGATGGGTTACTACCGCCCGCCCGGAGACAAGGGTTTCCCGAGGATGGGTTACCACCCCCAGCCTGGACGCAAGGGGCTCCCCCTGCGCCCGATTCGGCCGCCGATGGGTTACCACTGGCGGCCCGGGGACAAGGGGTTACCCCTGCCCCCGATTCGGCCGAGGATGGGTTACCACCCCCGGCCCGGACACAAGGGGCTACCCCTGCGCCCGGCCGCTGCCTCGTCGTCGTCGTCGTCGTCGTCGTCGTCGTCATCGTCGTCGTTGTGTTGTCGGGTACGCAGGCCCATGACAACAGCAAATTTGCTGACGATCGGCTCAGACGAGGCTACCCGCACTTCGCTCACAGACCAAGCTCCCGCTTGACACTTCCCCCGTACTGCAGGAGCTGAGGAGCCCAAAAAGTTCGCCCGGATGACCCGCTCGGATTAACAACGTGACCCAGAGGTGCCAAAGTGTCTAAAACAGACAAACCCAGTTTATCATCTAGCTACTAGACAACATCATCATCTTATCTAACAACTAAACAAGATGACTATGTTATCTAACAACATCATCATGTTAGAACGTATCGCTATGTTATCTAACAACATCATCATGCTATATAACAAACGCTCTATAACCATAGAACTGCATACTGTAATATCACGCAGAACACCCTGCCAGACAGCATGTTGAATCCATCTATTGGACACGAGGTAAAAACCCTACCAGACAGTTCGATCAGACAACCGCACCAAACAGCACAACACGCTGCCGATAAACTCGAGGAATCCGATTGGTGTTGTCTCCACCTGTGGTGATTTCTGCTTTCTCTCCCTCCTCCTCCTTCTCCTCCTCCTCCCCCTCCCTCCTCCTCAGCCTCGTCCTCCTCCTCCTGCACCTCTTCCTCCTCCTCCTCCTCCGCCTCCTCCTCCTCTTTTTTGGGACCTGCCTCGCCGAGAGTGCTGGCTGGCCAGATGATGGTTTGAATGTTCGCGTCGGGTGCTTGAGTGTGTATATTCGTCCGACTCTGAGCCCACGGTCAGGGGCACGCAGTCTTGAAGTGGGCCTTCTTGCCCTCCTCCTCCTGCTCCTCCGCAGCCATTTTGGCTCAACATGGCTTCTCAGGAAGACGCCCAGGATTGGCGTTCAGGGCCCAGATTGATTCTAGGCGAACATGAGGAGCTGGCCCGCGTGCTGGGAGAACACTTGAACGGCCCCGATGACTTTAAGTACTATTCGAGCCCTGGAGAAGACATTTTCGACCAAAGCTGCCAGCTCAGAATCATGAACATGGCGCACATGATCAAAGACATCGAGGCGATCTGCCCAAATTTTTCGATCAAACCAGAGGCGGCGGCCAAAGCCTTCAAGACGGCGGCGGCCGACAACGACTGGGGCCTCTCGGGAGCAGCTCTTGCTGCCTTCAGCGAGGAGAGAGGCAAAATGCTGAGATCAATGTGCAGGCACTTATACAATCCAGCGAGGTTGTTCAAGCACGATCCAGGAAAAACGCCGAAATGGTACAAGGACTTGAAGGCCAAGCAGAACAACACGGATGGCGAGGACCAGCGGGACTCGAAGGCCAAGCAGAACAACACGGGCGATGACAAGCAGGACTCGAAGGCCAAGACGGACGCCCCTGTGCTGAAACGTCCTTCGTCGGCAACGCTGCCAATCACGGTTGGTTGGGACCCAGTTACTGGCCTCGCTTTTCGGCGGAGAGGGCAAAGCAAGTCCGTCGAACACACCGCGGAGATTTTCTTCAAGGACGACGTGCCCGAGAGCTTCGCATGGGGCCGTTGGCCAGACGGAGATGAACGAGAGATCCCAGTGCTTACCAAGTTCGACTACGAGCAGCGCGGAGTCATCAATAAGGGCAGCAAGGCGAGCAAAGCTTTCTGGGAGTCCCGCACGGACGACGACGAGCGCGTGGTTGTGAAGCCGAAGCAGCTCGCCGCGTCGAAGGCTGGCACCATTTGTGGCATAGTGATCGAAGTTGGCGGGTCCCAGAAATTGCAGCTACCGTACCACGTGCTGGGCGACGAGGAGAAGACGAAGGAGTGGATGGTCGATATCGCTCAGCGTTTCTGCAAAGGGGATGTGGACGTCACTTCGATGAAGGAGGAGAGAGCGGCGCTGAACCACAGCACGCGGAAGCGACCAGCAGCAGCAACGGCATCGTCAGGAGCGGGCCTCAAGAGGCCAGCCGCAGCAAAGGTTGACGATGACGAGAGCGGCAACGACGATGGCACGGGCGAGCCGGACGAGCAGCAGGCGGAGAGCGAGCAGGAGTCGCAGGTCGGCCAGGAGTCGCTGGGCGCCAACGACCACGGAGACGCAGCTGCAGAGAGCGAGGATCGCCGCGGCTCCTCCACCTCCTCACTCCCCCCTCCTGCACCCCCTCTACTCCCTCCACCTCCTCAACCCTCCCTCCACCTCCTCCTCGCTCCTCCCTCCTCCACCTCCCCCCCGCACCTCCCTGTTCCTCCACCTTTTCCTCCTCCTCCTCCTCCTCCTCCTCCTCCTCGATCCCTCCTCCACCGCCGCCTCCTCCTCGTTCCCCCCCGCTGTGCCATCGCTGATCCATCGCTGATCCGTCGCTGATCTATCGCTGACCTCTGAAAGAGCAGCGAAAGATCAGCGACAGGTCATCGAACGATCGTCGATCCAGGAGGCCCAGGAGGTCAACGACAGCATCCCGATCCAGACCCCGACGAAGCGCATGAGAGGCGCGGGGATGCGCAAGCCCGCGGCAGCGTCGCCAGAGCACGAGGCCGCGGAGCCTCCCGAACAAATCCCAGGGCCAGGTAGCGGGAGCGCTTTTTCTAAGCTGGATTCGATGCGATCGACATCCTGGGAAAATGTTGACCTCGTCGTGCCTGCCCCCCCCCCCCCTTACGCCCAGAGCTCTCGCGCCAGTTCCGACGATTCCTGGGGCCCCGTAGCTGGCGATGGTTTTCAGATCCGATGGTCTCCGACGTCCCAGGGCTGAGAGCCGAGTTAAAGCTTCCAGGGCTGGGCCATTGCGATGCGAAGTTCGGAATCGCCCCTTGTTCGAGGAAAGAGGGGAGGGGGGAGGATGAGCAGGAGGAGGAGGAGGAGGAGGAGGAGGAGAGGAGGAGAAGAGGAGAAGAGGAGAAGAGGAGGAGGTGGAGGAGGAGAAGGAGGAACCTTGGGGGAGGAGGAGGAGGAAAAGGAGAAGGAGGAGGAGGAGGAGGGGAGGAGGAGGAGGAGGGGGGAGGACCCCCTTCAACTTGAACCAGGGCCAAGACATTCGATGTTCCGAAGCCGTCGGGCCCGAGATTGCGAGGTCCAGAGCGCGGCAGACCCAGGTCCCCAGGCCCCATGGCGTCGCTCGACGGCGCCCGCGTTCGCGATGATGACGGCGACCTGCCCCAAGCCCCGTCGGGTTCCGCTGGGCAGATTGAATATGGTTTCCTTATCCTCCTCCTCCTCCTCCTCCTCCTCCTCCTCCTCCCCCCCCCATCCTCCTCATCTCTCACTCGCACCCGCCGCCCATATCCCCAGGGAGGTGGGGGCCCCTCACCCCTCCGACCACGACGTCGACAGGAGGAGTGGGAGGAGGGTGGGGAGGAGGACGAGGGGGATTTTTTGTCTGGTATCGTCAGCCCTCTCGCAAGGTGGCAGCTCGCAAGGTGGCAGCTCGCCAGGCGACATCTCGCCTCGCACGCTGCAGGCCATGGAGCGCGCTGCTGATCCTGGGTCGAGCCCATCGCCACGTACTGCGGCGGCCATTGCCGAGATCAGGGAGCCCAGCGACGCTGGCGAGGATCATGATGACGAGCCCCTGCTGAAGAAGTGCAAGGGCGAGATTGATTCAGAGAGCGACTCCGACGTCGAACTGGCTAACTTCAAAGTTAACGGTATAGAGTACAGGCGGGATGATACTGGTCAGTTTGTCCCTCAGCGCGAGCCAGTGCCACCGTCAAGGCCACCGAGGGTCAGCAAGCACGAGGGTTGCATGGACCGCCAGCTGAACGAAGGGGACTTCTCAGATACGCCCGAGGATGACACGAAGCAGCTGCGCCGCGGCCCGATCCCAGATGCGCCCTCGGACGAGGATGTCGACTTGGCGGGCGTTCTCACGACCCCCCGTGGGCAGGTGGTCGGCGTTCAGCCCCTTGGTCGCAAGTGGAGTACTGCCTCGTCTGCCTCTGCAGCCGCGTCCTCACTGCCAGGTACGCCGATTACTGGTGAATCGCAGCCACCTGCCATCACGCCTGTGAAGACGCCCGCGGACGCGGCAGACGAGGCCCTGCGGAAGCGCATAGCGAAGTCAGGAGCAAACTTCGGCACGAAATTGCAGGAGCAGCAGGTCCCGACGACTGCGTTCGGCATGGGCAAGGGGGGCAAGATCGGCACGGATGGTACCCAGTTCGACGAGCGCGGCGCGCCTCGCAGGATGCGCAACGCCACGGGCGATCACGAGCTGAAGATCGCAGTGGAGCAGAACAACGGCTACTTCTTGGCTCGCAGCGCGTTGGGGAACCGCTTCGACACAGCAGAGAGAAACGACCCTGACCTGGCCAGGCGCTACAACGCAAGCAAGAACAAGGACGACTTCAAAGCTGAGTGGGCGAAGGATGTGTACGCTGGCAGCCAGCGCAAAATCAAGAAATCTACCGAGCAGTGGAGCGAGTCGTGGGGGCGCAAGGGAAAGACCGTGAGCTTCCTCAAAATGCTCTTCGAAGAAGGAGGGCCGACAGGCCACCAGGACCCGACCACGATTCGCGAGGTCACCATCCACTGCAACAGGTGCATCGACATGGGATATCCGTGGGTGCAGGTGTCACCCATGCACGGAGGCATCAAGTACCTCTGGTTCGACGACGTCTTCAAGGAGAACTTCCTCAAGGAGTGGCGGAAGACTTCCAGCCAGGACGAGCATGCCACTGGAGCGGCACCAGCAGCTTCTGGCGATCAAGCGCCGCCGATCCCGTCGCCGCCGCCGACGCCGAGGGTGCCGAAGGTGCAGAAGCCGTCGGTGAAGGCCATGGCGCTTGCCAATAAGTTCGTGCAGGGCGTGCAGACCGTGGTCAGCTCCGCGACCGATATGGAGGAGACGATCACTACTGATGCGGACTACGAGTGGGCCAGGAGCGACGCGGTCCTCGGCAGGCTGCAGCGCGAGAGGTCGAAGGTGCAGGCGGCGATCAAGGAGACGGGGCTCGGCAGGCTGCTGATGTCGGGCTCGGCGCCGACGGAGGCCCGAAGGAGGACGGGGAGTGAGAAAAGGAGGAGGAGGAGGTGGAGGAGGAGGAGAATACCGAGAAGGAGGAGGAGGAGGACGACGATGACGAGGAGGAGGAGAAGGACGACGATGACGAGGACGACGAGGAGGAGGAGGAGGAGGAGGAGGAGGAGGAGGAGGAGGGGAGGGGGATGAGGGGGAGGGGGGAGGAGGGGAACACCCTTTCGGAGGGTCATGTTCAAAGTTCTGGAGGGGCTGGCTTGAGACCTTCGGGCCCTCTTGAGGCCCTCTTGAGGCCCTCCTTGGGACCCCTTGGGACCCCTTGGGCCACGCGCGACCCCCTGACACGTCGCGCCCTCTCCCTCCTCCTCCTCCTCCTCCTCCTCCTCCTCCTCCTCCTCCTCCTCCTCCCCCTCCATTTCCTCGTTCCCCTCCTCCTCCTTGGAGGAGGAGGAGGAGGAGGATCAGGAGGAGGAGGAAAGGAGAAACGACCGCCCCCCGCAGAGGCGAAGCAGCGCCTGGACGACAAGGTCATCGTCGCCGACTCGAAAGCGCTGATGGGTCACAAGGCCGCGGCTGCTCCTTCATCCTCCTCCACCTCCTCCACCTCATCTTCCCTCCACCCCCTCCACTTCCCCCTCCTTCCACCTCCCTCCACCTCCTCCACTTCTTCCTCCACCTCCTCCACTTCCTCCTCATCTCCTCCTCCACTTCCTCCTCCACTTCCTCCTCATCTGTTTCCACTTCCACCCCCTCCACTTCCTCCTCCACCTCCTCCACTTCCTCCACCTCCTCCTCCACCTCTTCCACCTCATCTCCCTCCACCTCCCCCACTTCCTCCTCCTCCTCCCTCCACCTCCTCCTGCCTCCGCCTCCCTCCACCTCCTCCACCTCCATCCACCTCCTCGACCTTCTCCGATCCTCGATCCCCATTCCCCCTTGCTCCCTCCTCCAACTCCTCTTCCCCCTTCCCCCCTCCAACTCTCCCCTCGTCGCTCCAAACTCTCCCCCCTTCTGGCGCTGCCGCGCCCCCCCCCCCTGCCGAGGAGATGGTGGACGGCCTCAAGAAGATCGTGGATGCCAGCCGCAAGGCCCACGAGTCGATGGGGGCAGCGAGGCGCGCGGCCGAGGGTTCGCAGCCGCCTGGGCCCACGGGCAAGCGCAAGCGCACCTCCTGAGGTGTCGCTGATGCTAGCGCTGGGGCCGTTTGGGTTTCGGCCTCGCGGCGGGGTCGCCGCATGGGCGGCGCGCGAGTGCTCCGAGGTATTTCGGGCTGCTCGAGGGAGTTCCCATACGTTTTTATGGGCGCTGCGATATTCTCGAGCAGATAAAGCTGGATTTTTCCGCTGGGGATTGAAAAACAGACGGGGCAGCCCCAAACCCCCCAAAAAAGCAAACAAACCCAAATTTTCGGCAAACGGACCCCGAAATACGACGCGGATCAGCCTCGGAACCATCACTGATCCATCACTGATCCATCACTGATCCATCACTGATCCCATCACTGATCCATCACTGATCTATCACTGATCCTGCGATTTCGCCTGATACATCCTCACAAAACGTGCCTGACCCATCCCGGATCTATCCCGGATCCATCCCGGATCCATCCCGGATCCATCCCGGATCTATCCCGGATCCATCCCGGATCCATCACTGATCCATCCCGGATCCGTCCTGGAGCGCCCTGGCGCCCTCTCAGACGCACCAGCGCCACCCCTGCGCCCCGCCGTTTGTATGTAAACGACGATTCCGTCGCGATTGTCGATGTCGAGGGCTGCATCTCCCCTGCCCCGCTCCTGTTCTGATGGAAAAACTTCGGCGAATCGAAATCGGAGCTTGTAATTCCCGCGCGGCGTTGCCTCGAGATGCGTCAACCCCGTGAGGGGCGCGCAGCCGAGCCGCGCGGAGATCGCGAAGCTTCGATTTCTCTTCGCCCAGTTTTTCCAGCCGATCCTTTCTGACATTCTGTCTGAGGAGGAGGGGGGGAGAAAGCAAGCAGACACGGTAGACAATGCGGGGGTAGATAAATACACCAGGGTGACATGAGAGATACGGTCAGAAATACATTGTATGCTCAACTTGTACGTGGAACTCTCGGGGAGAAGTAGGGTGCAACAAAACCGTGATGTTGGATTGAGGCTCGAGCGATTCGCTTGTTTTGTGTTTCGAACTCATGGCTGGTCAGAAACGGAGGCGGTTGTCAGCAACCGTGCCTGCGTGGAAGCACCTGCATGCTGGTCAGCAACTTCTGTCTGAGCTCAAGGCTCAGTATTGCACTGGCGCTGTAATGAACGCCCGCAATTTCTGCGTGTTGTGTCACTTGGCAGCTGCTGCAGGCGCTCTTGGACCAGTTTCGGATTGGGGCCTCCCGCCAGACGATGTCAACACTGGCCAGTACCAGAGGAAAATATTTCGGAAAATGGAAGCATTCAAAAAAAAACAGAATGTGTCTGTTGACGAGATGATATTGTCAATGCCAGGGCACCCTGGTATACGAGCTCCGCGGGGTGACCTCCAGTTGAAGGTGAGACCGTTTCATGAGTCACTGTTCTGTGAAGTGATGGGTTCGGATGATTCCACAGATCGGCAACGCCAGCTGCTGCTCGATAAGCCGTTGCCGCCTGTGTACTTCCAGCATCCTGTGGTTGAGAAGGCGTCTGAGGGTGAGCTAGTCATTCCAATGGGTCTGTACGTGGACGCAGCCAGGTACGGCGGGAATGCATCGGCAGGGCGATCGAAATCCGTGCTGGTAGTTTCGTGCACTAACCTTCTAACAGGAGTTCGTCACGCTGGGGTGCTATTTAGAAAGTCACTGCAGTGCAGGCGCGGCTGCAGGGGATGGTGCAGCACACAGAGGGTGTGGGTATTCGTTCGTTGGTGCGTGGAAGCGTTGGCGAACGGCTTGTGGCCGACTGCTGGCATTGACGACCGCCCGTGGGGAGTCGAGGACGGCTATCGCTTCCATAAGTCGGGCACGCCACTTGGTTTCAAGGCCGCTGTTATATATCAGCTCCTTGACCGGGAAGCAATCGCCAATGTCGTCGGCGTGCCTCCGTGGAACCATTTACGGCACCCGTGCCCTATCTGCGACGCGACGCAGGAGACGTTGCACATGTACAGGATACATTTTTTGTGTTAAACGATTTGATGTCAGGGCCCTCTGGGAGACGCATGTGCACGGGTGGCGGGACGTGGGCTGGGGTATTTGCATAGCTTACTGCATGACAGAAGGGGACACGGGGGGAGAGAGAGGGAGAGAGGGAGAGAGCGGGAGAGAGATAGAGAGAGAGAGAGAGAGAGAGAGAGAGAGAGAGAGAGAGAGAACACGGCGGCATCACGAGAAAGCGAGCAATAGCACTCACTAGACACAGAAGAAGAGCGAGAGAAGGAAAGAGAGAGAGAGAGAGCGAGATAGAACAATACGTCAATAAAAGGATGGGGGAGACATCAAATCGCTTCTCAGCCACTGCACTGCGGTGAACAAGCCGTGGGCACCTCATGCTCCCGACGCGCGCGATACCGCCACCACCAAAGCTGAGGTCTGGGTCACTATCCGCACCAGGAGAGAGCGGAATGATTTGTGGGAGCAGGGGCGCTTTTTCTTTGACAAGAGGGAGAGGCAAGGCCAAGGATTGTGCCTGGAGTGTGGAGTCAAACCCCTTAATGAACAATCAGATGAGCTTCTTGCAGGAGACTTGCTCCGCCCCCAACCGAACCTACCAGATGTGGGGTATTATATGTCGATTAGGGCCCCGACCCGCTTATGTTTTTGGAGGCCGTCCTGCGCAACCCTCACAAGGTATAGAAATCCAATCCTGGACGTCGGCCTGGGGATATCATTAGTTCGCACTTACGGCGTGGATTATCTCCACACAGTTCCGTTCGGCGTACTGGCGGGCGTTACCCTTGCAGTCCTTTGGGGGGCAGCAAATTCGAGCAGCTATCGACTGGTTGGGCGGGCGATTGACAAGGCTTCTCGGCGCAAGCAGGCTTCAGGGCACACTGAATCGCCTGCCCTTCCACCGCCACCCACCCCCCTGCACCGAACTCGCCAATCAAGGAGTGGCCCGAATGTAAAGGGGCGAAGGGGAGGAGAGATATGAGGAGGAGGACGACGAGGAGGAGGAGGAAGAGGACAAGGGGGGAGGAGGAGGAGGAGGAGGAGGAGGAGGAGGGAGGAGGAGGAAGGAGGAGGAGGAGGAGAAGGAGGACGAGGAGAAGGAGGAGGACGAGGATGAGGAGGAGAAGGAGGACGACGACGAGGAAGAGGAAGATGAGGGAACTGAGGGGAATGAGGAGGAGGAGGGGGAGGAGGAGGAGGGGATGGCCCTCTTGAGGCCCTTCTGGGGACCCCTTGGGCCACGCGCGAGTAGGAGGAGGAGGAGGAATCCGATGAAAAGGAGGGGGGGGGGGGGGGGGAGGAGGTGGAGAAAGGGGGCGAGGAGGAGGAGGAAGGAGGAGGCAAGTATTTATTTCAAACTAAATACCTCAAGCATGGTGGCGGGTCGGGAGGGCACCCAAAGCCCTCCTCCCCCTCCCCTTCCCTTCCTCCTCCTCCTCCTCCTCCTCCTCCTCCTCCTCCTCCTCCTCCTCCTCCCCCTCCGTCTCCTCCTCCTCCTCCTCCTCCTCCTCCGCCTCCTCCTGCTCCTCCTCCGTTTCCCCGTTCCCCTCATCCTTCGCTGTCTCCTCTTCCTAGTCCCCCTCCTCGGGCTGGCGGACTTGCAATCAGATCGCCGAACTTGTCGCTGATGCCCCCCCCCCCGCGATGAAATGGCCCGATGCCTCCAGGCAGGTGGGAGGCGGGGGAGCCCATCGGTCGACAACTTCGGAGATTGTTGTGGGTCTGTCAGCCTTGAACGATCACTCCGCCGAGGCATTTGAAGTTATGAATGCAGTGTTACAGAGGTGGTACGCGAGCGAGAGATCTCTTGGCCACGAGCCCGACGAGATCGACAATTTCAACTCTAGGATTCTCGGTGCAGATGACCACCCAGTATTGAAACTGAGAGGTGGTGAATCTGCATCGCTCTTTAAGTTTGTGGTGCAATGCTTTTTGCCTCAATTTCAGGACGACATCGAACACGGAAGGCAATTGATGGCGTGCGCCCAACCTTTATTGCATTGGGTAGAGTTCCTCCACGAACAACCCGACGTGGTGCCAGCAGAATCTTGTAACGTGTTGCTCTCGCTGTGCTTGAAGCATCTGATATTGCTACCGTTGGCGGGCATCCCCTACAAGCCCAAGCATCACGCATTCTACCATATGACAGAGAGGTGTTTTTTTTTTGGGGAGAGAAGCAGGGGGGGAGGAGGGGGAGGAGGAGGAGGAGGGGGGGGGGGGCGGAGGGCGGAGGAGGGGGAGGGCCAGGCGGAGGGAGAAACGAGGAGGAGGAGGAGGAGGAGGAGGAGGGAGAGGGGGGACGAACCCAAACACACTCCCCAGAATACCAGATATGGGCCACCCGAGGCTGTACGCCACTTGGAAAGACGAGTCGCTCAATGCCCTATTCGCAACTTTGGCAGAGGCATCGCACAGCGCCAATTGGGAACGTGGCATGTGGACCAGGCTTGACATGCAGATCGAGAGCTCAATAGGTGTAGCTCGCTCTCGGTAGCTGCAGGGGAGGATCGAGAGGGAGGGAAGGGGATTGGGGGAAGGGGGGAGGGGGGAGGAGCAGGAAAAGGAGGAGGAGCAGGAGGAAGATGAGGAGGAGGAGGGACAGGGCAATCACAGGTGCCTTAACCCCCATCCCTGGGGCACCTGTGGATAGGAGGAAGACGAGGAGGAGGAGGAGGAGGAGGATGAGGAGGAGGGCTGCATAAAGAGGCGCGCGGCAAGGCCGCCCCGCCCCCGCCTGCGTTCACGATGACCGCGTCCACGGGATCGGCGAAGCCGTCGAAATCGGTTCACCCCTGGTTGTCCATCCCCCTTCCTATCACCTTTCCCCTTTTCTCCTCCCTTCCGCTCTCCACCTCCCCCCTTCCTCTGACCACCCTCGCCCCTCCCCAGCCGCCTCCCCCCCCTCCGCCCCTCCACTCCCGTTCGGGGGCATCGACCGACCGAACCGCCGACCGACGACGATCCGACCGACCGCCAACTTGGACGAAAGACGAACGCCTCCGACCGTCACCATCAAGGACGACCGACCGCCGATCGCCGACCGCCGACCGATGCCGCCGCGACGACCGTCGCCGCTGCCGCCGTGGTGCCCGAGCGGGGCCGCGGGGCTGGCAGCTTTGACGGGGGGCCCTCGCGATCGCGAGGGGGGGGGGGGGTACCATGGCAAATCGGAGTACGCAAACGATCTATCAGGAGTGAGGGTGCAGAATCCTCCCAGCAATCGCGCCCACCTCCTCCGTAAGTCCCTTCGCTTGAAAGCGAGCGACCAGGGTGGATGGGGAGGGCGCTATTGCTGGGAAGATGATGCGCAACTCAGGACTGTCGCTACGAAATGTGTGGCCTTCGCTCGCTGGCCAACGCTTGCTCCCTTGTGGCGTATACGGGCGTGGGCATCGTGATACGGAACTTCTTGACACTGGCGTCTCCTCCTCCTCCTCCTCCTCCTCCTCCTTCTGATCCCCTCCTCCTCGTCCCTCGTCCTCCTTATCCTCCTCCTCCTCCTCCTCCTCCTCCTCCTCCTCCTCCTCCCTCCTCCCCCTCCCCCTCCCCCTCTCCTCCTCCTTCTCCTCCTCCCGCCCCTCCCTCTCCTCCTCCTCTTTCTCCTCCTCCTTCTCCACCTCCTCCCCCCCCCCCCCCCCCCCCCCCCCCCCCCCCCCAATGTTCATCGCCCGCCCTCCTCCCAGTTCAGGCATACCCGTTCAAAGGGTACGGCAACAAAGCGAATATTGTCATAGTTGGGTCCTTGACTGTTCGATCTAGGGTACGTCATTTGCCCCCAGCCTGAGCTTGCACGGCGGATTTTCCTCTGGCGCACTTTATGGAATAGACTGGAACGTGTTTTTTGGCATGATCGGCCCCGTGCATGAGGACTCACTGTTTCGCCAGACGGCGGCGGGCCGAAGGGGGGGGATTTCCTCGGGGCTGCATGTCCAAACGTGCGACGGCGTTCAAAATTTGGACCCCAAGGGAACCACCGCGCGTTAAGGCCTCGCCCACCCCTTGGCCCTTCGGTTTCCCGCCGATCCATCGCGACGCGCCCCCTCCGAGCTTCGAGTGGCCAAGCCTGACAGACGAGAATCTAGAAGCCATGATTGGATAAGTCGGTCTGGATGCGCGAACCAATCGTCATCACTTCCTCCCCTTCCCCATCCCTCCTCCACCTCCTCCTCTTCCTCCTCCTCCTCCTTCTCCCTGCCCCCCTTCCCCTTCCCCCCCCCCCATCATTTCCTCTCCTCCTCCCCCCCCCTCCCCTCCCAACCATGTAGTCGCACGGGGTCGAGACCTCACCCCCTGCTTCTACTCACATTTGCAGCGACGTGCGTCATTAATCATGAGCTGCGCCCGCGCAATCACAACCACGACCATCGCAAACGCACTCGCGACCACGCGCCGCGACGCACTACGTGGAATTACAGCTTCCTCCTTCCTCCCTCCTCTTCCTCTTCCTCCTCCTCCGCCTCCTGCCTGCCCCTCCTCCTTCGAGCCCCGTAGCCATTTTGGCTCAAGCGACCGCTGTGTACTTGATTTCGATAGCGGAAGGCCTCGAGGCACCGCAGTTCCTGTCTAGCAAAGTAAGAACACGGTCTTAATGTCTAAGTCATTTTGGCTGAAGCGATCGCTGTGTACAGCGACCACGGACTTGATTTCGATAGCGGAAGGCCTCGATCGAGGCACCGCAATTACTGTCTAGCAAAGTAAGAACACGGCCTGAATGTCTAATTGCTAGACATTAAGCTGTTAATGTCTCAACATGAGACAACAACGACAACGCATCTATTTTAGACACTTTGGCACCTCTGGGGAAGTGCGGGACCCATAGGGAGAGGCTCCCGTCTGAGACTTCCTTGCAACTTACTCGCAGACGAGGCTCCCTCTTGATACGTCCTCCACAGTCAGGCCTGAAGAGCCCAAAAGTGACGACGGTTAGAAGAATCCGATGACCCACCTCGGATTCGAACATGGAGCGCGAGCCCCATAGGGAGGGGACTCCCGCCTGAGACCTCCCTGCGATTCACTCACGGACAATGCTCCCGCCTGATACGTCCCCCATATTCAAGCCTCAGGAGCACAAAAGTGACGACAGTTACAGGTTTGAGGACGACCCGCCTCGGATTCGAACGTGAAGTGCGGCCCCCATAGGGACAGGGTGGTCCCGCCTGAGATTTCCGAGCAATTCACTCACAGACAAGGCTCCCGCCTGAGGCTTCTTCCGTATTCTGGCCTCAGGAGCCCGCAAGTGACGACATTGACAGGTTTGAGGATGACCCGCTCGGATTACCAACATGAAGTGCGGGCCCCAAAGGGAGGGGGCTCCCGCCTGAGACTTCCCTGCCATTCAGTCACGGACAAGGCTCCCGCCGGATACGTCTCCCATATTCAAGTTTCAGGAGCCCGAAAGTGACGACATTGACAGGTTTGAGGATGACCCGCTCGGATTGCCAACATGAAGTGCCGGCCCCAAAGGGAAGAGGCGCCCGCCTGAGATTTCTGCGCAACTCACTCACAGACCTGGATTCCGCCTGGTACTTCCTCCATAGTCACGCCTCAGGAACCCAAGAGTGACGATAATTACACGTTTTGGATGACCCTCTCGGATTACCAACATGAAGTGCGGCCCCCATAGGGAGAGGGGGGTCCCGCCTGAGACGTCTTCAGAAACTACCCACAGACGAGGATCCCGCATGGTATTTCTTCCGTATTCAGGCCTCAGGAGCCCAAAAATGACGACAGTTACAGGTTTGAGGATGACCCGCTCGGATTACCAACGCGAAGTGCGGGACCCATATGGAAGGGGGTCCCGCTTGAGACATTCTCACAATTCATTCACAGACGAGGCTCCCGCTCCAGGCGTCTTCCATATTCCGGCTAGGGAGTGAGTGATGACGAAGTGATGAGCGAGCGAGTGGTGATGATGATGATGATGATGATGAGGATGATGATGATGATGATGATGATGAGGATGATGATGAGGATGATGAGTGGCTGAATGAAGTGATGGTGTTGATGAGGATGAGGATGGTAATGATGGTGATTGATCGAATTATGATGATGTTGTTGATGAGGAGGATTAACATGGTGTGAGTGTGCATGAGTGTGATGATTATGATGATGGTGACGATGGCGAGGATGATGAGGATGAGTAGTGACGATGGGTAGTGATGATGATGATGATGATGATGATGATGATGATGATGATGATGATGATGCAGGTGGTGAGTGAAGGGGTACGGGGGTTATGATGGTAGTGATGATCAGGATGATGATGATGATGAGTGATGATGACTGCTGATGATGACGGTCAGAGAAAGGAAGAGAAAGAGAGAAAGAGAGAGAGAGAGGGGGGGTGAGGAGATCCTGCGGTGAGGGTGTCCACAGAAAACAGAAAAAACACTTAGGATGTTGGGAACAAACATTTCGATTTCGAAGAAATAGCACAAATCCAGAGAACTGCTGGAAAACAGATCGGTTCCAATATGACGGCCCAGCTGCGGGGAGGCCCTAATGGGCGGCTCCTTTCCCCAACATTCTGCATTTGGGTGGATGACAGGAGTGCCCACCCCCTGGAGGGTGCGCCGTTGCCCCTCTCTGGCGCGCCCCCATTACCGAACGGGGAAGGCGCCGCGGCAGGGCCCCCTCCTCTGCCCAGGGAGGTCGGTCGGCCAGACAGCCCGCGGCGTTCTCGCCGCGTCGTCGTCGTCGTCCGTCGTCCTCCTCCTCCTCCTCCTCCTCGTCCTCCTCCCCCCCCTCCTCCTCCTCCTCCTCGTCCTCCCCCTCCTCCTCCTCCTCCTCCTCTTCCTCCTCCTCCTCCTCCTCCTCCTCCTCCTCCTCCGCCCCCCCCTACGTTGCGGCTCAGACATTTCCAGAGTCACTCAGCGCTATCGCGGCGCGGCCCCAAGAGGCCTTCCAGAACTCCGTATGGGGGGCCAAAGATGGGTCCAAGATGGTCCACGGAGTTGTGAAGTCGTCCAGAATGGCGCGAAGATGGTTCCGAGAAGCTTTCGAGAGGCTCGCAAAGCGGATAATCTGTTGACAGTCACAACGCGTTGTGAATCGGCATGTGCGTGTGTGGCGGCGCCATGATAACGCCTTTCCGAGGCTGTAGCGCGCGCGTCGTTATCCATCACCTCGCATCATTTACCCGACATCCTTCTCCATTGCGCGCGTCAATTCCGTGAGTTCGCTCATAGATGGGATCCAGATTCACGGATTCCCCCAGAGAAGAAAGCGAAGATCGAGCTCATTCGTCAGGGAATTTGGATACGTTGGCGAAGAACACTTCTTCTCGCCACTCTGGTGAGTTTACGTTCTGTTGACGTCCTTGTTTAATTCGGTATTCCTCGCGCCCCATAATCTTGCGCATCCTTTTTTCGCCTCCGCCGCCATGCCCATTTCCCTTCGTTTGCTCTCTCTCCTTCTGATTTGCCCCATACCGATCGCCCCCAGTGGAGGGGATGGAAGAAAAGGATGAAGACGCGGGGCGAAGGGGGACAAGAGCCTGGGGGAACCTGGAATATGAGGACAGAAGATGAGGAATGCCACGCACCTAGTCTAGAAAGCTTCTGACTACAGAACCAGCTGTTCGAGGTCCTTCAGCGCTTTCCGGCGAACATCTACCGCGTATGCCTGCCGGGATCAGCCAGGCATGCCGCGCCGCTCGTTTGGCCCGACAGTTGCACGCTACTCTGCGCGCCCGTAAATGGAAGTCAGCCTGTGGCGCGCAGGACACCAGTGGCACTGCCCTAAGTGCGAGGCGCGACATAACATCGATTTCGGCACGCGACTGGAGATCGTCGATGGGGCGCAAGCCTGCGCGATCAGGTTCCAGCAGAGAGCACTTGCAGTTGCTTGCCGCGAGTTGGGCCCGCATCGCAACGCGAACTTTTCCGCCAGACAGCCGCAGGCCCTATCCCCCAGAGCTATCTCGACGGTAGTGGCAAGCCCGGCGACAAGATCGGTCAGGCACGATCGGTAAGCCCAGCCTGTTCCGGCGGTCGTATCTTTTTTTCCACAGGGGGGGTCCGTCTCAGCCGCCATTATGCCGAAGGTCTCTGTGAGTTCGATCCTTCCAGGGCATGGGCGTTGCAATGTGACAGGACTCACCGAAGCGTGAGAGGAAAGGAACGTATACCAAGCCTGCAGTGGACACACTTTTGCGCTGAACGCGTGGGTGCGAGCACGCTCCGCGCACGTCCAACTGGCGGGCGGCCGCCGCCAGTGGGCGAAGATTATTTCAAGGACGCCCCGCTCGACTGTTGTAGTTACGCGCGCGCCGCGATAGTACAGGGGCGCTCGAAGAAGGGAACAGCTCCGATCAATCACCACATGAGTCCAATCGGATACCCTCCATACCCCCCCCCCATGCGAGCAGAGAAAACTCGCGCGGACAAGCCGGCTCGCGAAGTCGACGGCGGCGGCCAACAGTCAGGGCGCGGCTCCCAACAGCCCTCAGGCGAGAGCCGCGATGATCATGGAGGATAGCGCAGAATTGGGCCACGAACTGGCCCGGGGGAACTCGCTTAACATTGGAAAACCAGCGGAAGCAGAGCAGGGCGGGCTGCAACTGGCCGAACATGCGAGGCAGCAGAACCAGCAGCAGATGCGGCGAGGGCGCAGCGCCGTCGCGGCGTGCGGCACCATGGCGGCCGAGCTAGCTGCGCGAGGTCCGCCCGCCGATCGCACCGGCCAGGCCAGGCCACGTAGAACGAAGAACAGCAACGGAATAAGCACAGATACGTGTGTGTATGTGTATATATATACACACCTATACGACCGTCTTGCGGGCGATAAGCAGGTTGGGGGGGATTGAGTTGGATAAGATAAGATGGGTTGGATTGGAAGAACTGTATTGGATAGGATAAGATGGATTGGATTGGCCCGCCGCAGGCGCAGAAACACATGAATTGATGGATTGGGTTGGGTGGATTGGATTGGGTAGGATAAGATAAGATGGGACACTATGGGTTGGATATAAGATCAGATGCATTGGATTGGAGACGATGTAGAGGATAAGATCAGCTGGATTGGATAAGAAAGCTCGCCGCAGGCGCCGAGAAAAATGAATTATGAAATTAGCGACATGCGTTAGGGACGCCCGGGACACCCGAGACACCGCCTGGCCCAACTGGGACTTCTCCCGGCCACCGGCGGACGGGAAACGGATTTTCGCTCCTACTGACACCCGGGACACCTGGGACACCGCCCGGCCCAATTGGGACACCTCCCAGCCACCGGCGGACGGGAACGGTCTTTCGCTCCTACTTCGGCCTAGCTACAGGAGGATCACGCGCAGCTTCGCCTCGCCCGCACGCACGACACGAACACGAAACCGAAACCGATTTCCAAGTGGGGGGTCTCCGTTTTACTGCGATCTAACCCCCCAACCTTCGATACACATATATATATATATATGTATATATACATATAAATGTGTACACATGTACATATGTGTGAGATATGGTATATGGTAGTCGTGCGTATATATCTATTTATATATATATATATATGTGTATATATGTGTACAAATATAGTGTAACTACATAACTATGTGAAAACATGTTTCCGTATGTTTACATACACAAATGTCTATTTATATACATACATACACAAATGTGTCGGAGTAGGCTAGGATGGGGGGGGCGGGCCGCTGCCTGTACCCCCCTTGGGCGTCCCCTTGGGTTTCTGGGGGGGTCCAGAGCTCCCGAGAGTGCTCGGGCCTGCCCCGAAACAGGCCACGACAGGCTAAGGGGGTCCCAAGAGGACCCAAGAAGGTCCAAAGAGGCCCCTAACTCTCCCAAGATTTCCTCAAGACTGCCGACGAGGACTCCAACGCGCTCCAGGACGGACTCAAGAGCCTCTCCAAGAGGGCCCTTGGAAGCAACATTCGTTCATTTTCCAATGGCTTTGTAGGATTTCTCCCGCTTCCCAGCCTCAGAGAGCCTTCAGAGCGCTTCAAGACGGCCCACGAGGCCCCGCAGAGGGCCCCAAGACAACCCAGGAGGCTTCCCGGACAACCCAAGTGTGCACCAAGAGCGCCCCAAGAAGGGGGCCCAGGGGTCCGTGGCCATTTTGGCTCAAGGCTCAAAGTTTGCATCCTGGCTTACTCTTCTGCACATCGCATCCATCACACGCACACTCGGCCAAGCTTACAGCTTACACGTTATACCTCAATGTTTGCATCTGCGTCAGCAAATGTCTGCCATCAGGCACCCTGGACCGCGTGGTTGGTGGGCATCGCCTTCCACATTGTGCCTCTCGCAGATTCGCTCAAGACGGTCTCCACGGTCAACGCAACGGGACATTTGCAGTTGTCGCTTGATGTTGATGGCATGGTTCTCAAGACGGACCGCTCGTGGCACTTCGATCAGTGCGAGTAGTTTCACGTACCAGTACAATTCTTATCGGTCCGGCGACACGATCGTGGTGACAAACAATGCGTTGAGCCAGACCGGGCGGGCATACTACAAGTGGACAAATTCGGGGGGATTCAAGATCAATTTCGATATGTGGATGGGCGGTGGTACAGGCGCCGATGGCATGTGCATGAAGTACGGAGGTTATGATTATGGCGAATATGGCGAAAATATTGCTTCCAATGGCTTATCTGTATGCTTCGACTCCTATTCAAACGAGAACGATCATGGCGTGGTGATGGGCTGGAACGGTGGGAACATCTTTTCACAGATAGGCTCGGGCCACTGGGGTGAGCAAGTTCCTCTATTCGAGGATTCCACCTGGCATGACGTCATTGTGGAGGTTACCCCCAGCGGCAATGGTGCGAATGTGATATTGAATTTTGACAACGGCTACTACTACAGAACTGCTTGGATTGGTAGTTACTCGTCAATCGTTGGCAGCCAGCAGTTGGCCTTCACTGCAAGAACTGGTGGCTCCACCAACTGGCACTACGTCAAGAACATCCAGGCGTGCACCGCCGCGACGCCTAGCCCGACGCCGTATCCGACGCCGTACCCGTCGCCGTACCCGACGCCGTATCCAACGCCTTACCCGACGCCGTATCCGACGCCGTACCCGACGCCGTACCCGACGCACTATCCGACGGCATTCCCGACGCCCTATCCGACCGCGTTTCCGACGCCATTCCCGACGCCGTATCCGACGCCGTACCCGACGCCGTACCCGACGGCGTTTCCGACGCCCTACCCGACGGCGTTCCCGACGCCCTACCCGACGGCGTTCCCGACGCCCTACCCGACGGCGTTTCCGACGCCCTACCCGACGGCGTTCCCGACGCCCTTCCCGACGGCATTCCCGACGGCGTTCCCGACGCCTGGCCCGACGCCCAGCCCGACGTATCCTGCAGGTTGGCCGACGCCACATCCGACCTTTCCTCCCATGGCTCCCATGGCGGGCGGAGCTGGGGCTGGGGGCGTGGCTGCAACTGGCGACCCACACTTGCAGAACATCCACGGTGAGCGGTTCGATGTGATGAGGCCTGGCAGGCACGTCTTGCTACACATCCCACGGGGCGAGCGGGCCGAGAGCGCGCTGCTCCGCGTGGAAGCCGAGGCGCGTCGGGTGGGCGGGCAGTGCGCAGACATGTACTTCCAGGAGCTGAACATCACGGGGGCGTGGGCGGAGGCGAAACAGACGGGCGGCCTCGTCTTCCAGGCCAGCAGCGACGACGGCGACCTCTCGGACTGGGAGAAGTTTGGGAGGATCGAGCTGAAGGTTGCCCACGGGCGTACGAAGCAAGGCGTGCGCTACCTGAACTTCTACGTCAGGCACCTGGGGCGCGCCGGCTTCGACGTCGGAGGGCTGCTGGGAGGGGACGACCACTCCGCGGCCGCGGAGCCTCCGGAGGCGTGCGCTCGGCGCGTCTCCCTCGCGAGGGGGCACCACGCCTCGGATGCAGAGGCGAGCCTTGCGTGACAGCGTGGGCGCGAGAGGGGCGATGGCTCCGCTTTGGAGCGTTTTAGAGGTTCACGGCGAGATCCCACGATGGTACAGCGCATCTGTTTCTAACCGACACCCACGTGGGCCTGCGAGAGCCGCCGCGTTTGCTGGACGCGCCTTCTGAGCAAAAAAAATAAAAAAGAAGGGTGCCCAGAGGGGGCCCGCGAACCGATATTTCAAGGTCTCGGGCCCTAGAGGCCCCCAGTAGGCCGGCCCCTGGAGGCCACCAGGCAGGAGGCCCCCACGAAGCCCCGTGATGCCTTCAAGAGGGAAGCCCCAAGAGGCCCCCAAGGGGCCCCCAGGGAACGCCCAAGAGGCCCCCCAACACGCCTGAGCAAATCATGTCCCCAGACAGTCTTCCATGGGCACGACTCATCATGGGCCCGAGAGTCCCCGGAGGCTCCGAAGTACCATCGCGCTACCGGAGAGTTGTCTGGGAAGTTGATTGGAAACATGATTGATCGCCTTCTCGCGGCCCTCCGCGGATCGTTTCGCACAAAGTTGCTCCATTTGCCCTCTTGAACCGACGACGACGATGACGAAGACGGCGAAACGGCGAAGACAAGGACGACGACGACGACGACGACGACGACGACGACGACGACGACGACGACGACGACGACGACGACGACGACGACGACGACGGCGCGCCCCAAGAGGCGACGACATTATGACGACGACGACGACGGCACGCCCCAACAGGCTCGCCACGACGCCCCCAACACCCACGTTCCCAGAAGGCCTTCTGGGAACCCGATTCATCAGGGCTTCGCCCCCTTACGCAACCATCTTCCCCAAAAACCTTCTGGAATGCGCATTGACATCCGTGGTCTTCCCACTGCCCATAAGGCGCTCAGCGTTATGGGCGCTTCTTCACTTCCCGTTCAAACCATCTGTGGTCCAATACTTCAGTAGAGCAGTGAACTCGTCAAGGCTTAGGGTCTGCTAGGACCTGAGCGCGCGCGAAGCGCGAGCGATGGTTTCAGTGTGTATATATTTTTATATATATATACATACAGACATACGTGTGTGTATATATGTATATATATACATACATATATATTTATATATCGAGAGAAAGAGAGAGTGAGAGAGAGAGAGATTGTCTGTTGACAGTCCGCGCGAATTGTTTTGATCGGCGCTGGGCCCACCCTGGCGGCACCCCCAGCGATGCCCTTGGCTCGCGTCGCACGCCAAGATCCAAGACACCCGAGCGGACTTCCAAATATTCATTCCCCAATCAGAGCTTGCCTCTGTAGGGATCCTAGCGGATTCATATGGTTAGGGAAGGTACGGTGCCGATTTCGGCGGCACGCCCGGTAGCTTTGTAGGGTGCCCGATAGCCCTATAGCCCTACAGCCATATAGCCTTATAGCCCTATAGCCTTATAGCCCTCTAGCCCTATAGATCTAATAGCCCTACAGCCCTATAGCCTTTGAGCCCTATAGCCCTGTAGCCCCATAGTCTTCTAGCCCTATAGCCCCACAGCCCTATAGCCCTAAAAAGATTATGATTGGGTTGTTTCTCCGGTATCATGTTCATGCAGTTTTATATGGCACGGCGGGCGGGCCCATGATCCCTCTTGCCACGCCGCACACCGAGCGAGAGTGCGTGCGAAGAGACTGTCTGGCGTGCGGCGCACATTCTCGTGCTTCAGACACCACGCGCAGCTGTGATATTGGAACGCAGCAGCGCTTCATTGCACCGTTGCCTGGCCGTTGCCTCCACGGCCTCCGCCGCGACGCTGGGGACCCGCGATGCTGTCCCCGCGGACACGTGTCATTGGCCCGAAGGGCCTGCGTCGTGGGTTCGGGGCTTCATGTCATTGGGCTCGGGGCCTTCTGCCCATGCCCGATCGGGTTCACGCGCGCACTTCCCGACGCGGCCGCTGTCGGTCCTTCTCGCGGGGTCCTGTGCCCAAAGACGCGGGCTCCACGGTGCCCAGCAATTTTTGCGCCACGCCTTCAACGGTGCCTAATTAAAGTGGTGTCCACAAGGGTTTTCAGAGTTGTATTGTGCCCGAAGTCGGCTCGGATGCGGGAGTGTGATGTCCCCGTTTGCACGTGTTCATTTGGGGCGCCACTGATAAATAAAGCCGCTGGCCAATCTCTGCCACATATCGCAATGGAGTAACGGAGTGCACAGGTCACTCGAGAGTTGTTGCGGTCGTCCCGCCCTCATGCCCCTCCTTCTTTTCAACAAGAACGTGTTGGGCACCGGTATTATTGTCTGGGAATCAAGAGTTGTTTTGTTTGGGGGCGTATTTTTGGGCACGCGACTGGCAAAGTCGGGCATCCATGCCGGGCACCGTGCAGGCTCCGTTGGGAGCGGGCGTCCATTTTGGGCGCGTGTCCAGGCTTCCGAACGTTGCGAAGTTGGAGGGGGGAAGGAGGAGGAGGACGAGAAGGAGGAGGAGGAGGACGAAGAGGAGGAGGAGGAGGAGGAAGAGGAGGAGGAGGACCCCCTCCCCCTCCAACTTATGGTAGTGGTGGTGGAGGAGAAAACGGCCCATCTTGTTGGCTGGCCAGGGTCCCGTGTTGGTGCAGCGCTGTGGCGCGTCGTGGTTGCGCCGTGTCGCAGCTCCCTCGCGCCGCGAAGGCGAGGCCAGAAGGGCCCTCGAAGGGGCTCCTAGAAAGGTATTGTTAAGTCGGGCCTGCAGGGGGATTTTTGACGAAGAATAAAGCATACCCTCAAAATGCCCCCAAAAGGTCAAGACATACTCGAAAAATAGTCCCCAGACTATTTTTGGACTACTTTTTGATTATTTTTGGTGTATTTTATTTTTCGTCGAAAATCCCCCTGTAGGGGGATAGGCCCGACTTGAGGTATTGGGCAAACGAGACAATGGGGCTAGGAAGGCACCGGGTGCACCAGGGAAGCGGCCATGAGGGCATCGGGCAAGCCATGAAGGCAATCGCGTTCTTCTTTGGGGAGCACCGTTTGGGGCACACTTTGGGCACCGTGGCGTGGCACCGTAATTGTTTTTTCCCCACAGGCTCATTGGGGTTCTTGTTTTCTTCCCACCCGCGTCGCACCCGCGAAGCTCACACCTCACTCGCCTCCCTCTTCTCCTCCTCCTATTCCTTCCTCCCCTCACCCACGCGCAACACATACACGGCACGTACATGAGACACGCGTCTACATGCAGCCGCACGCATGCACATACTCGCACACACACACACACACACACACACACACACACACGCGCACGCACGCACGCACGCACGCACGCACGCACGCACGCACGCGCGCGCGCGCACGCACGCACGCACGCACGCACGCACGCACGCACGCACGCACGCACGCACACACACACACACAGACATTAACAACGCTAGTGCATGCCTGGCGTGTTCACTGCATCATGCACCCACGACGTATGCGCCACATACTGGGCACCCACATGAGACACACGTCCAGATACAGCCGCACACGCATCAGCGCATGGCAGGGATGACATTTCATCGACGCCACAGGGGGTGCGCTGGGGGTGGGGGCGCTATGCGTTGCAGGCTCGCAGGGCGTGGCATTGCCTCGACGGCACAGGGGGTGCGCTGGGGGTGGGGGCGCTATGCGATGCAGGCTCGCAGGACGTGGCAGGCGTGGCATTTCCTCGACGCCACAGGGGGTGCGTTGGGGGTGGGGGCGCTATCCGCCTTGGTCGTCCACGCCACAGCAGGCGTGGCTTTTTCTTGACCACCTAGCTTCATCCACGTATGTTGCACGTCAGCTATGCTCAGACAAGAGTTCAAACGAAGTATGTGGATTCCGAGGTCGTGTAATGGACCAGCCCTATGGTGACGTTCTCTGTTTTTGAAATGTGAAGTGATGCAGACGCAGCCGTGCCAAGTCTGCAGAGGGCCAGCGAATGAGGGTGAACTACGCGTGCAACGCCTGCCCCGGCAGCGGGCGACACGGCCACTCCAAGTGCAGGGGCGCGCATGGCGTTCACGCTTGATTGCCGGGCTGCGGCCTTGGCATGTTGCGGTGGCGACACCTGCGGCAAGGTGCACACCCCACACATGCTACAGGAGACCACTTCACCGCAACCTCAGGATCGCCCTAAATTTTGGACGCGCTACTATGCGCGGCTGTCCTTTGTCGGTAACAGCTACCTCGCGCGCGTGGTCCAAGGGCACGTTGCTGGACTGAGCGAGTAGGCTCGGGTTGCATGAATCAGCGCAGTCATGCCTGCGACCGCCGCTCTGCGTTTGGATTCTAAGGGGCGGCTAATGAATATTTGCACCTTGCTCACCTTGGCAGTGCTCGTCGCTGTATAGCGAGGCTGGGAGGGCTGGCCGCCATCCGCCAGGCCTATATGGTCAATCGACCCGAGTCGGCATCCAAGGTTGCCCGCTAGAACATGTCATATCGACGCCTAATAGACAGCACTGCGCGTGCCGCCAGTGGTGACGGATTTGTTTCGCAGGAGTAGGAGAACGAGGGCGAGGACGAGGAGGAGGATAAGCCAAGCCGAACCCCCTCGCTGGCGCCGCAGCAGGCGCATCAGCCCCGTGCTCGACAGGCCGCAATCAGAAGCTGATGTCATAATGTAGTGTAGCTATCTTCTGGCCCCAACCAGGGCAACATTCGAAGTCACGCTAGATGAGAGATTGTTTGGCCTTCGTGAAGTGGTTGCCTAATTGGTGGTGAATGAATGAATGAGGGGGTGGAGGAGGAGGAGGGGGAGGGTGAAGAGGAGAAGGAGGAGGAGGAGAAAACCAGGGTTTGGGCGGATGGGGAAGAGAAAGAGGAGGAGGAGGAGGACCATCAGGAGGGGGAGGAGGAGGAGGAGGAGGAGGAGGAACAAGAGGAACAGGAGGAACAGGAGGAGGCGCTGACTGTAGCAGGCAGGGCAGGAGGGGGAGGAGGCACGGGGTGGAGGCGAGGACGAGCACGGGCGAGGGGAAGGGGGACCACGAGATTGCCCCCGAGGGAGATCGACGGCCAGCCCGTCCGGTACGCGCCGCTGCTCGGGAGCAGGCGCCGCGGCTTCCTGCTGCTGAGCGACAGCAGGCCCGAGGAGCCCAACGCGGCGTCGCCGTCGACGTCGACGTGGGCGACGACGACGGCGCGGCGGCAGCGTCGAGCGGTCAGATGGGCGATTGCCGAGGAGGGGTTGGGAGGGGTGAGGATGATGAGGAGGAGGAGGAGGAGGAGGACGAGGCGGACGAGGAGACGAAGAGGAGGGGGAGGATTGTAGTGTAGCGCTGATGCCCTCGAGGGTAGGCATCACATTGTACAGTCGGATGGGGCACAAGGGCACACCCACCCTTGGAACTGTGCCCCAAGGTACAAGGACAAGAGGAGGAGGAGAAGGAGGAGGAGGAGGGAGGAAGATGTGACAAAGGAGGAGGATCAGTGCAGAGAAAGACGATGGGACGAGGAAGGTGTAGGAGGAGGGGATCAAAGGAGGACAGATGGAGGGAAGCATATACAGGAAGGATGGAGATGGGAGCCGATGAGGCAGGGGATGGGGGCAGATGCGTCGTCGTCCTCCTCCACCTCTTATCACTCCTGGTGTTGCCCCGTCCTCCTCCTCCCCCCCTCCTGCTCTCCCCTCACTCCTCCTTCCTCCCTCCTCCTTCCTTCCTCCTTCCTCCATCCTTCTCCCTCCTCTTCCTCCTGCCCCACATCCTCCTGCTTCGCTCCCTCCCCTCACCCCCCTCCTCTTCTCCCTCCTCAGCCGTTCGAGCCCTCCCTCCTCAGCGTCCTAAAATCCTTGGAGTCTTGTTCGTTTCGTACGGTGCGACCCATTCGCGATCGGGCCAGGTTCTGCGTCTGATGAACTGACTGAGCAGGCTAAGCCTACCGATCAGCTTTCCCCGGTCCATGCCTCTTCAGGAGTCTTTCTTCAGGAGGGTGGCACTAATCTGCAGGGGACTGGTAAACCAGCCCGATCCTTTCGTCTGACCCGAACCATCTCGGGTCTGGCGCGCTCGTCATCAAGCATTGGCCTCCCTCCCTCCGCGCCCGGGCGTCGGCCGTTGTGTAATGGGGGGCGATCAAAGAAACGGGGAGGGAAAAGGGGAGAACGGTGCACCTCCCGTGCCCTAGAGGGGCCCGGAAGGGGCCCGCCCCTGGCGCCCAAAAGGGGCACGGAAGGTGCACGCTCCTCCCCCCCCCCATTTTGGTCGCCCCCCCCCCCCCCCAAGACGCAGCGCCCAGGGGCGACCCCCCCCCCGATCGCCCTCCTCCCCCCTGCCCCGCCCAATCTCTTGCGCGCTGCGCGCTCGCCGAGGAGCCCGAGGACCTCTTCCTCGAGGAGGACGCCAGACGGCGGCGCGCGCCGCCAGCCGTCGGTTCGCCGCCCTCTCGCCGCGCCGAGGTGGGCTTCTCACTCGCGGGTGCAGTGAGTCGGCGGCGAGCCCGGGGGGGAGGGAGCGAGAAGGGGCGGGCCTGGCTTCTCAGACTTGGAATCGCACCCCAGGACTTCCCAGAAGGCGCGAGGGCTTCCGAGGAGCCCTGCCGCCTGCCGAGAGGGCCTTCTCCTTCTCACTTCCCCCCCTCGCACGCCGCCGAGTCAAAGGAGGGAGGGAGGAGGAGGAGAGGAGGAGGAGGAGGAGGAGGAGGAGGAGGGGAGGAGGGGGGAGAGGAGGAGGAGGAGGAGGAGGAGGAGGAGGAGGAGGAGGAGGAGGAGGAGGAGGAGGAGGAGGAGGAGGAGGAGGTGGAGGAGGAGGAGGAGGAGGAGGGAGGAGGAGATGAGGAGGGAGGTGGAGGAGGAGGAGGTGGAGGAGGAGGAGGAAGTTGCAGCAGCAGGTGCCTTCTCAGCCAGCTTCTGCTCGGGTGGCCCAAGTCACACTCGAGCAGCGAGCAGCTGGTGGACGGGTCGGTGGCCATCGACAAGATCATCTCCACGGATGTGCTCGAAGTCGCCGATGATGCCTACGAGCTCGAAGAGCAGGACCGCAAGGAGATTCGGCAGCGCAAGGATGAGTTGTCGGACAAGGTTCGCGAGGCGGCCAAATCGTTATTCGAAGATGCCCTTGCGAAGATCAAAGAAGCCAAGGAACAACACGCCAAGCATCTCGAGAGGTCCGGTGAGAAGCGCAAGACGGGAGTTGGCAACGTCTCGGACGCCGCTACTCTCGGAGGTGAAGCAGCTGGAGGTGCTGAAGGTGCTGGTCAGGCAGCTGGGGCGGCATCCGCGGAGTCTTCTGCGTTAGCTTCGCGGACTGAGCCTTCTGAGGCCGACATTCGCGTCCAGGTTGCAGCTGAGCTTTCAAATCCATCCCCCCTCCCTGGGAGGAGAGGGGGTAAGTAATTTCCAGGATATAAGAGGCGTCTGGCCTCTCGTGCTTCGTAGTTTCGCCGAACTTGACAATTTTATTTCGGAGGTCCACGCCTGGATGAGTGTGCCCAGCGCTGTCCCCAGGAGTTTTTGCACGCCTGCCACCAGCAGGAGGCTGAAACGGGAGTATTGCCCTTTTTGGGAACCCGCGCCCTTCGAGGCGCAGAAGATTTCATTGTGGCCTGAGGGCAAGGCTGACTCCACCTCTTCCCCCACGCGGGCCCCCAGGACCCAGGGGAGTACTCAGGGGGCGTTGTCAGTGTGGTTTTGAAAGCTTGGACCATCAACTGTAACAAGTGGGGTGCGATGAAGGACTTCTACTTTAAGGGTAGCTCTTTGTGAGATGTTTTAGATAATCGGGAGTATAGCCTGCGCGTCGCTGCCTTATGGCTCAAGGCACGCGCGCCCGATTTTCCCGGATACCAGACTTGGTATCCGCTATGTGCTGGAAAGATCACTACATCGGTCTTATCCTATCTTACCCATCCACACCCCTATATCGTATTTCTTTGACATGGAATTGGATGCAATATGACCTCCCGGAGTCATTTCAGACTTGGTAGCGGAGCTGGCCGCGCTCTCGTGTGGTCAGCTCTTGCTCTTCTTATCCTCACGCTACCCGTCACGATCCTCGTGACCAATCTCTACCCTGCGCCACCACTCCACCGACATCTACGAGGATCAATGCAAGAGCAAGAAGCAACACGAGAGATACGACGTCTAGACAACAACATTGGTACCATATACGCTTCATCACTACGCTACCACCAACCGCTCGGCAACGAGCCGAAAGCGCAGCACTTGAAGCGCAGGCGGGGGGACCCGCAAGATAAAGCGCCTCGCAGACTTGACAAGGCGCTACACGCCCTGCCCTAGCGCGGCAACGCGCCCGATAACCACCCATACCTTCACGGCCTAGGGCTGGTTATCTTCGCCATTATATGGTTTGCGCTGGGAGCGGCAATCGGGCACATGCGCCGAGGAGATAATAGCACCGATGGGCGAACACATGGCCCATACTGGGACCCCCAAGGCAACGTACCCTTTCGCGAGTACGTCTACAAGGTCAACGCGTGGCTTAACGTCACGAGTGGACGCATGACGCCACACGCCCAAGCAGCCGCCATGCAACGCGGCCTGGGCGGCCTCGCGAGCACACTCGCCATGAGGGTACCACCCGACATCATAAACTATGGTGCGGACATCGACGGTGTCCACACTGACCCTGTCACATACATCATGTTTCTCCTAAGCATGAAGTTCGAACGCCTGGAAGATGAGCGCCAGCTCACCTCAGGCACTCAGCTCATCGACTTTCACGTGCCTCACGGAGAACGGATCGACGTGACCCTTACTCGGTTCGAAATGGCGCGTCTTGGGGCACAATCGGCGGGCTTTGACCTTCCCATCTTCCGACTACTTACGGCTATCCTATTCCGCGCCCTAGGCGATGGCGACCAGCGAGCCATGCAACTCTTGCAGCCACTCAACCACCAAATGCCCCGAACACAACAACAGCATGAAGAACTGCGTGAGAGGATGCGCTCGATAGGCCCTTTGTCAGAACCCCCCCCCCCCCCCCCCCCCTGGCAACATAGGATCAGCGTTTGGAAGGGGCAGGGGAACTGGCAGTGGAAATTTCTATACTACCTTAACCTCTGAAGCTCAGCCTGGCCACGGGCCCACGAACACATGGGCCGACGACCCTGGCGAATCTACTGCCCTACTAGCAGGGGATCGATCACAACCAAGCTGGGCAACCAGCCCTCCTCCTAGAGAACCTCAGCCCCACCGCTCTCTATGGGGAGAAGCGAACCCCCTAAACGACGGTGTAGCCACCTACCTAGGTAACGACCGACCCAGGCACCGACACCGACACGATATCGTCAGATGGCATCGAACCACTAGACTCGTCAGATATCATGCAAATGGAAGGCGATAATCAGCGTGCCGAGCATCTATTCTGACAACTATAACAAGCAAAGCGTAGGTGGAGGAGGTTCACGCGAAAACCAGTGCGTCGTGTTAGGAGGAGGATGCGGAGAAGCTTCAGAGGCAAAGGCAAAAACAAACGGGGCCGCCGAAGGTTGAACGGACGAGGCATCGCGGCTTTCCTCAAGGGGCTTTCAGATGATCAGTATGATGAGATATTCTTCGGGGCAGAAGGCCGCGGGGAAACCTCGGGCAAAGGCAGAGGTAGGCGGGGAAACCCGCGAGGTAGAGACGGTCTGATCTTGAAGTGCCATGAATGATAGCACCGATCACCTTGTGAAGGATTGTCCAGTGAAAGGGAATGGAAATGGTAGATCGTCCGAAGTCCATGTAGGCTCAAGTGAGCCTGCTATTGAGTATCTGAGCCTCCAAGACTTCGAGGCTGTGGAACAGATATTCTTCACTTGGGTCAGTAATATGGACACTCTGGACGAGATCGAGGCGTACGGCCACGGGCTCTACGCGTACTACCTCGAGTACCTCCGCAGGTATACTTTCGGAGCCATCGAGCTCACGCCTGTGGAGAACGGAACGCTGGGAAACCAGCCCCTTTCCTTCTTCGACTGGATGTCCGGCAATCCAGGCAACATCATGGCCTTCGAGAGCAGCGACGAGGACGTCACTGTTGAGGCCTCACCTACGGAGGTCGAGTACAACCGTCGACAGCAATCTGACCTCGTGCCTGGAAGCAGGCCCACTCCAGTGCATCCGCCAAACTATTGCGAACTGATGGAATTGGAGGCTCAAGCCTTCACCGTGGGCGTGCCAGGCAATCCTCGCGAGCCACCTGGCATGCTCGCGCCGGGCGAGTACGGGCCATGCAC